TCATTCAGTTCCAGAATAAATTGGGGATAATCTCAATCTCATTTTTTTATGATCATGAGAAGGTGTTTTTAAAAAATCATGTCTTGAATTTGCATTAATATTTAGTAAAATACTAATGACATTACCTGGACAATAATTAGTTTACTATTTATTGCTGTCCATTCAGTGTATTTTGAGTGATATACATACTTTTTATACAGATTTACTATTTATGGGACATTTACATTATGCTCCCCAAAAACATTCAATATAATTTATACAGTTTAAGTTATAAATAATCACTGTGGAAAGTTTATTGAAGCCAAAAATTAAAAATAAATAAATAAATAAAATAAATAACTAAAGTTTTCAAAATCAAAGTAACTATTGATAGTAATGGCTTGTTAAGAGTAATGGCTTATTAATAGTGATAATTGTACATAAAAAAAATTGTGATTTTTAAAGTTTTTCTCTAAACATTACTTGGAAAAACTATTCAATCCCGTCAATTATTCGTTCATTCATTTTCCTTTGGCTTAGTCCCTGATTTATCAGGGGTCGCCACAGCAGAATAACCCTGCAACTATTCTGGCATATATTTTGCTGAAAGATGCCCTTCCAGCCTCAACTCTCACACATACACTATGGCCAATTTTGTTTCACCCAATTCACTTATGCTGCATGTCTTTGGACTGTGAAACACACATTAACATGGAGAGAACTTGCAAAGTCCAGACAGAAATGGTCCCTGTCAGCACTCAAACCCACGACCTTCTTGCTGTGAGGTGACTGTGTTAACCACTGAGCCATCATGCTGCCCCCACCAGCCAATTAGTCAAATTTCATAAAAAAATATTTTGTTCTCCATAACCTTCAATAAATGTTGCCTCCACTGGAGGTGCTTACAGTTTTGTCACCTTTCAAATGGGATTCCTTGCTTGAAGAGCAACTTCTTGATGCCAGATAATCTTTTTTTTTTTTTCACATTAACACCGTTTTATTCACGTTTCATCAACTTTTTATTTTATTTCATTTTAAACCTGAATACTTAACAGCCAACTTAAAAACATTCTACAATGATACTGAAACAAGCTTCAGTGGATTTTAATGGCATTCTTTAAGTTGATTGTCCTGTAGGAAAATTCAAAGAATATTAAGCTTCAATCTATGCATCACAGTCTTTGCTTAAATGGTTAAAAACTTAAAAGTATAAATAATTTTCTTCATGTACTGAGGTTTCTGCTTACTGCTACAGCAAAGCTGTTGTAACCACAAGGCACACTCTGCTGATCCATGGTTCCAAAACCTCCAGTTTATTTGAAATAATCTATAAAACATTCTTTAATCTTCAATGTTCTTGACAGTCAGAAGTGTGCAGCTCAGCAAAGGTGCCCACTCTCAGAAATTAAGATACGTGAGCTGTCACTTGAGTGGTATCTTCTCAAAAGGTACACATTTGTACCTTAAAGGTCCATATTAATACCTAAAACGTACAAAAGTGTCTGTCTTAAAATTTTTAGGTACTAATATGTTCCCCTAAAGTATTAATACAGGTTTTCTAGGTGCAAATGTTTACCTTTTAAAAAGGTACCACCCCAGTGACAGTTTGTGTACCTTTATTTCTGAGAGTGTAGTAAACTGTAAAGTCCACTGTTGTTCTTGCACTACAATGCTTTTTTTAAAATCTCATTAGGTCATCTTGCTCCTTAATCAAGTTCTTGGCAGAAAATTGAGGGCAAACATTGTATTCCCCTTAATGATGTTGTGCTTTTTTTGTTAACATGTTCTGGTAGAACACATTTTAGGCATATGAATAAAGCTCATGTCTCTGGGAACTGTTGAGGCATACTGTATACAGTATGTAATAAGACACTTTTTTTGTGAGACCTGCATGCTTTGATTTGGCCAGATCTGCTACTCTGTTTTAACACATGCTTGGGGTAGATTTAGATGTGTAAACAGCTGAATCAAATCTTGTCTTGTTATACAGTTTACAAAGGCTTTTAACACAATTTTATGCCCCACCATACAAACAAATGACTGAATAAGGGCCGATTCATTATGACTTGGATTTATCAATCACACACACACACACACACACACACACACACACACACACACACACACACAAAAATCAACAACCTATAAATCAAATAACAAAGTGATATTACTTTTTATATGCTTACAGGTAGAAAGAAATTTCTTGTGGGTCTTCAGATAATCTGTTATCATGGATTATTTAATTCTCTTAGTTATGAACAAGAATATTATTCTTTATAATTAAGTTAATAATATAAGTTAATATTCTTATAATAATTGCAGGCAGCTAGCATGATCACCCACTGGAGCTAAGCAGTGCTGCACCTGGTTAGTACCTGGATGGGAGAACACATGGGAAAGCTTGGTTGCTGCCAGAAGTGGTGTTAGTGAGACCAGCAGGGGGTGCTCAACCTGTGGTCTGTGTGGCTCCTAACCAAGTGTGCCGCAAGCCTACGTTTGAGTGAAGGTTTCGGCCGTTAGATCGCCCCCTGGGGGCTGGCTGCAGTACAAGTCATAAAGCCCGCCTCCTCCGTGTTAATGAAGGAGACTTGAGCCCAAATAAAAAAAAATATTACACTTGCAATAAAATGTCCCGAAAGATAGTTCTGGTCGATTAAGGCACTGGTTATTGTGCTGAAATAGGTGCAGATCTTCATTTTTGTAAACAGTTTGTTTTTAGCAGTAATTTAATGCTGGGCGTGTCATCGTGATTGACAGCTGTGATTGACAGTTTCTCAAAGCGCGGCGTCTGAGCTTCGGCAGGAGACTGAAGTAGACTGAAATGTTATTATTCGATTTCTGTGTTTTTTTACCATGACAAAATGAGTTCAGCAGTAAACTATAATTTCTGACATACATGATCCTGGTGGAACACTGTTTATTCGCTAAGTTCAGGGCTTTTTTCGGGCTTTATTAGTTTGCTGATACACGCCTAGCCACCCAGATAGCAAAACACAGTTCCGGCTAGATTCTCGCCTGCCGGAGACTTATCTCTTAGAGCTCAGACTGACTAATGTTACCTCTGCTGGACCTACTCCGGATGCCTGGACTCACTAAGTTACCCAATTCCAGCCCGAGTCAATCGAGCCAGATGCGGCGGCCGAGCGAGCAGGCGCTGCCGCATGCGAGCCGGAATCAGCCCGCGACGCCGCGAGTAAGTTATGCGCTGCGGCCTGGAGCTGGCGCGATTGAATATATAAAACCCTCATATTTGTTAACGTTATTACATCCATTTGTGTTGATATGACAGCAAACGCATGCTGAGAAGTTCGGGGGGCGTAGTTGATTTTACATAAAGCGTTTGATTGGAAGCTCGACTCTGCTCATTTTCGCGGCTCCTCCTCTGGCTCCATCAGACAATCCTTTTGCGCATGTCTGGCTCCAATTTCAGCAGTCTTTTGCGACAGTTTGTTCCCGTCAAGCAGGCGTTTTGCCCTCAAGGCGTTCAATGGGAAAAAGGGCTGTCGCGTCGTCCATATTTTTTACAGTCATTGCTCCTAACACTCTAATATATTGATGGGGACTCTATACTGTTCAGTGAGTGCCATCTTTTGGATGAGACGTTAAAGCGAGGTCCTGACTCTCTATGGCTGTTAAAAATCTCAAATTAGCCCACCGGTCTCTGTCCATCATGACCTCCTAACCATCTCTATATCATAACTGTCTTCCTCATTCTAGGTGCGTCCCAAATTGCATACTTAAGGACTATTCTATAAATAGTGTAAGTAGTGCATTCACACTGTAAACTCTGAAAAAAAAGTGCACTTTAATTACCCGGATAATGCACTTATTCAGCTGTTAAAAAAGAAGTGTGTTATGTTGGACACTTCACACACTCAACGACCATAGCTTTGCTCACGTAGCGGGAAGGGGCGGAGCTTACGGGCACCAATGTTGGATCACTTTATTTATTTTGGATTGTGAAAGCAAAATTCTCCTATGAGAGTGATTATACCACCTTCTGATGGTGAATGCGGTTATACTCATGGCTGGTATTATTTGGTACTTTGGTCATTTATTTACCTAATTTGGCAACTGTCAAACATCATCAGGGAAACGGTTTAAATTTCCGTTTAGTAAAAAAACATTAGTGTTCCATTTGGGACGACGCTACATACATATACTATGCTGTTGAGTGTGTAAGTGCATAGTGTATTGTGTGCCATTTGGGATGCAGCTTATGTCTCCTCTCCACCAATCAGCTGGTGTGTGGTGTGTGCTCTGGTGCAATTTGGCTACCGTCGCATCTTCAAGGTGGATGCTGCACACTGGTGGTGTATGAGGGGATTCCCCTCCAAAAAAAATGAGTGTCTAGAAAAGCCCTGTATAAATGTAAGGAATTGTTGTTAATATTATTATTATTGTTATTTTATCATCTTGTCATAAATAATGACTGTTCTGTACTCCATTAGCTCTTACCAAACATTGGAATATTTGATGTTTTGTTGGCAATGAAGATAATGGTTTTACTTTTCACTCATTTTACAATGTCCTCATTGCAGCTTAAGGGTACATTTTACTTACAGAGTAATATCAATTCACGACATGTATTTACTGTAAGGTTAGGGTTTGGCTTAGGGTTGTTGGACAAACATCATGATCTCATAAAATGTACTTGCATTTAAATGAATCTCTTAGTACAGTGCATTTACTGCATACACGTTTTAACGCTCTACTCATATTATCATAGAATTACATGTAAATTTATAATTACACTGTTGACCGATCCCTTACACACCTTTAAAGTTACCAAAATAGCACCAACCGTTATCAGTATTCCAGCTTAATAGCACCATAAGTGTTCTGCAATGCAATATGAACACAAGTGCACTGAATTTAATTTGTGATCTAAATACATAGTAGTAAAGGTAAATTGAAAACAAATTGGTTCTATTGTAAATGATTTTATTACTGAAGTACTTACAGTACATATAAGATATGTAATAAGGACACTGTAAAAATACAAAAAAATTCTTACCCAAAAGGTTTTAAATGAGAAATGGTTGTTCGCTGCTACTCCTAATGTGCTTTGTGTGTGTCCAGGATCGGGACTCTGGTGGGGCCACTCCTCTCCATCTGGCGGCGCGGTTCGGGAGGGTTGAGGCTGTAAACTGGCTGCTGGTTCATGGTGCTGAAGCAGAAGTGGAGACAAACTGCGGTGCCCTTCCTGCCCACTACGCCGCAGCAAAGGGTGACCTCACCTGCTTGAAGCTGCTGATTGGTCGAGCACCAGGGTACAGTGTTACAAGCTCAGACACGCACTAATGAAAGAGATAAATCTCTTGTGAAAAGAAGCATGTGACAAGATGTTTTGGGTCACTGGTCTTGTGGGTCACACGTCTCGAGTAATTTGTTTGAGTACATAGAGTGTTTTACTTTGAGTGTCGCTTTGAAAGTTGACAGTGCAAGTCGGGGTGTTATTGATTAAAAAGAACAACTGGGGAAATGTTACTTAAAGTAAACTATAAAATAGTGCATGATTTGTTTTATTTCAGGTATTTGCCAGTTCCACAAATCCAGTTTTAATTTTGTTTAACTTGGTTTACCTAAAAAAAAAAACACTGAAAAAATGTATAAATACAAAGTTTAAATTATATATATACAGTGTGATGTATTGACATCATGGCAAAGGCAAAATAATTTACTTGTTAAAAATTAGTTATTAGAACTATTATTATTAAAAATATGTTGGAAAAAATATCTATATTAAACAGCACTTCATATTAAAAAATTATTTTAAAGGAGGACTAATTATTTTGAATTTAAACTGACAATAGAAAAGTAACGTATCAGGTTATTCTTCCATGTGCTTGGATATGTAAGTATCCTGTTACAAGTTCTGTTCAGATGCTGGAAAAAGGGAAAAAAAAAAAACATGTGACATAAACGTGTCACATTCTGATCCACTGAATGAGGCCAAGTCACAATTACCACCATAGTAATTAACAGCATTGGGCACATTCCTTAAAAATAGTAATTAGTTTTAGTTACTAGTTACTTTCACAAATAGTAACTGAGTTAGTAACTGTTACATAATTATAAAAGTAACTAATTACCAGGGAAAGTAACTGTTGTGTTACTTTAAAAAAATCTGATTTGTCAGATGACTATAAAATAAACATAAAACATTGTTGACTAATCTACACTATTTTGCTACTAATGTGAAAGACAATCATCAAATTCAAGATATCATTTTAAATATTTTCATTACTATGTTTGCACAATAAAACACAATAGATGGTTTTGAACTTCAAGTATTTCTTGCACAAACCACAAATCACAAGACCTGAGGTGTTCCATTAGATTAGAATTACTGGTCACTGACGCAGAGACTTCTTTTCCTTTAGGCATAAGTTGCACGATACATAAACTATCCTGCCTTTCATCTCAATGAGGGTAAAGTAGTGCTTATATTTACAGTTTGCAAATGCTACCTTTGAACTTGTTGGATTTGCCAAAGTTCTGACTCTCGGTTGTTGGTGTTTGCGACTGGAAAAACTATGAGTGAATACCCGCAAACGATGTAAATGGACTCTGTCTAAATCAATCATAACGTTCTCAGTTACACCACGTTCACTTACACACCAATCATCGTCACTGGGCTGGTCATGTGTCCCACCCCAACTCGGAACACACACACCAGAGAAAGAGAGGTCCTATGGCTGAGAGAGATGCTGCATGCATGAAAACCGATTCAGTGATCTCGATTATAGTATAGCCATTAGTCATGCTGTTCATTTATAGCACTGTTATTCTCATCACTGGTCATTGATCTTATTGTTTTTGATAGAGATAATTTGTGCTAAAGAAAAATGGGCATTTAGATTTTTTACATTAAGCTGGTTTGCTCAGCTGCTATCCCTTTGAGATTTGTTCACGTAATGAAAATTGGTAGAGGAAACGGGATTGAGCAATAGTGGTCCAATGACCCTATCAAACTAATTCACTTCAGACCACCAAGTTGATCTTCAGATAATCCTGCACCCCTTTCTCTTACACATGTACAGATAACGTGTCTTATAGCGTGACCACATGTGTAACTGATACGCAGAGGCAGGAAGAAATAGAAGCATGTTCGTGTATAGGAGTTAAAGTGTACTTAAAGCCAGACTGAATGCATATATTAGCCTCCAGGGTTAGAAAATGCCACGTGAGAGCTTTAGAGCTGGTGTATAATGGATGTACACTGTCTGTCACATGCCACAACATACAGTACTGAAAGTGAACTTTCAGAGCTGCTTCTCGGTTACTGGACCTTCAACACCTCTGCAGATCAGCTCTCGATTCTGCAGCCATTGCGAACTGATTCAGAAATAACTTAATTTGGGCATTTAGAATTTTGATTTATGAATAAATGAAGTTTTGATTAACAAATTACCACCAAAAAAATAATGATTGATTGATGCATGGATGGATGATCTATTTGTCAGTCTATATGGGATGAAACTTAAAATTCTGAATGCAATTGAGCTGAAAATTGAAACCGATAGTAGTTTGTACTAATTATTTAAAATGTTATTAAATAATATAAAGTAATTTTCTCAACTTTAAAGAGTTTTTTAACTCAACAACTATACTTATCATAGTAAACGTCATAAAAATCTATTTTGGGGATGTTATTTGAGTGTACTTTGCTTTTCCAGTGAGCATATGTGGTACTTGCATAGATATTGTATACAGTTACTTGAGTGAAATATCCTCAGAGCGAAATATTAAAACCTTGGATAAAAATATCTTTTTAAAAAAGAATATATATATATATATATATATATATATATATATATATATATATATATATATATATATATATATATATATAAATATATATATATATAAATATTTTTTTTACGATATTGTGATAACTGCTCTGAAATATAATATTTTTAAATATATGGGTAAAAAACAAGTGAAATATGAAATATGAGTAAAATATCCTCAGAGCGAAATATTGAGCTAAATGGTCGGCATTGAGTATACAATGCAAAGTATAATGCATTTGTATACAGTGTGTTGTATGCAAAGAGTATACAAAGTCATTGAACTCTGCGGTGGGAACACTGATGGGGCAATACGGTACATGTTAGCATTTTTGTCTCCATTTTTAATTTTTTTTCATTTATGGACGAAAATCAAAAATGCCGTTTTTTGGATGATGACGTCGGGGAGATAAAAATTTGTCGCATCCTTAGTTTTTACTGTAAGAATTGCAGGGTTAATTCAGAAATGAATGTACTCTAAAATGTTTAAAAAGCACAGCTGCTTTCAATATCAAAATTTTAAATGTGACAGATTGAAATGTACATTTCTTTTGATACTGAAGTTGGTAACTATTTATAATAACTAAACACTATGAACCATTAGGTAAAAGTTAATTCACTGTCTGTTAAGCATTAACTATATTAATAGATGTTAGTAAGCAGTTTGTTACTGCATTTACAAATGCTGTATTCTGAATTATAAGCACATGTATTATGTGCTTAATTATTGTATTTTCATACTTTGTTAGGGATTCATTTTCATTACTTAATTAAGTATTGCATTGTTCATAAACCAGTTATTTAAGCATAATTGTTGGTTTTTTTAAGATCCTTCAGAATGCTAAAGTAAATGATTACTAAACGGTTTAAATGAACATTTATATATCTTTTTATTCAGGCATATAGTAATTGTTAATTTGCATGTTAATAAATGCTTTATTAACACAACTTCATCCAGTTTTGTGACCTAATCTAAAGTGAGAACTATTTATGCTTTATAAATTCCTTATAAATGACAATAATGTCAGTTCTATGCTAAACAGGGGGAAAAAAAACACTTTATTCATTTATATTTATTTAAAGATGCACAAATAAAACCGTATCAAATAAAAAATAATTATTTGCAATCTTAACTTTTAAACATTTAAACTATGTTTAAACATCACTAAATAACATTGTAATTTTGTATCATAAAATTGTCACGGTTGCAGGTTTGTGCGCTTCTCCGGAGTGTATGTTGATTACGTGGGTTTGTTTTGTTTTGGTTATCCATGTGGATTTGTTAGGCTCACGTGTTATGACGTCATTCAGTTGGTCTGATTAGTTCGCCAGCTGAGGCTCATCATGGTGCCTATATCTGGGCGACGCTTTTGTGTGTCTGTGTCAGTTCGTTGTTATCACTCATGTTTGTGTGTCTGTGCTCAGGCCCTGCGGAGTAATCTGGATCTGGTTTTCCCCGTTCTGTTTCCTGCCCTGCGTCCTGCGTCCGTCTAGCCTGACACTATTTGTATTTGTCATCACAATAAACTTGTACACTTGCTATTGGATCTTCTCTGACTCTCATTGAAACGTAACAGAACGAACTGACCTTTTACATGGATCCAGCGAGTGTGTCCCAGATCTCCGAGTTCGTCTCCCACAGCAACGCTCGGATCGACCGTCAGGATGAGGCTCTGGCCACCACGGCTCAGGCGATCCAGGCCCTGGTTGGCCAAGTTTCATTGCTCACATCCCAGGTCCAACAACTGGTTACTCGTGCTGCACAGGCTGATACTCCACCTGCCCCCGAGACTGCACCGACCCCGGAAGTGTCACCAGCGCCTGCGGTTCCTGGTCGCTCTGTTGAGCCGCGTCTTCCACCTCCGACCAGCTATTCTGGAGAGCCTCTCTTGTGCCGATCCTTCCTGTCTAAGTGTTCCCTTTACATCTCACTGCAGCCGTCATTATTTTCCTCTGAACAATCTAAGGTGGCATTTGTCATCACCCTCCTTTCGGGAAAGGCGGCTCAGTGGGGAACTACAGCTTGGGAACAAAAGCTACCATGCTGCTCTACGTTTGACCTGTTCTCAAAAGAACTTAAGAAGGTCTTTGATCGAGCCGCTTCCGGGAGAGAGGCCGCCCGAGTCCTCGCTGAACTCCGCCAGGGGAATCGGAGCGTAGCGGAGTACTCGATTGAGTTCCGAACACTAGCCGCTGAATGCGGCTGGAATGCGGAGGCCCAGTGGGACATGTTCCTGCACGGATTGTCTGATCGTCTGCAAGATGCGATCTATTCCTTAGATCTTCCGAAGACTCTGGACGAGCTGGTGGATTTGGCCATCCGTGTGGACACCAGACTGCTTCAGCGTGAGACTCGCCTGCAGCAGAGCAGATTTTCGGATCCCGTTCCTGACTTTCCGGCATTAACTGCGACACCGGAAGCGGTAAGCGCTGACCCGGAACCCATGCAGCTGGGGAGATCCCGCTTGTCCGTGCAA